CGCCTTTTCTGTTTTGTTATCCTCCCTCTCCCTCTCGCCCCCCTTGGCCAATTGTTTTGCCCTTTTCCTCAATTTTGTGTGGCTGTTTTTGAAGTTTATGGCACTTCGTAGAAGTCKGATTCATGTTTTTCTCTGTTCTGGGAATATTGGGGTATTGGCAATTAAGGCGAGTAGTGATGTGTGCATGTATTAACATATAAGTGTTCGTAAGTGTGTGTGTGTGTTTTAGATTTTCCCCACAACAGCCCCAATTCCACCCAGGTGAATAGATTCAGAATCAAAGCAGTCTTTGTCCTATTGCAGACAATGAGAGCATTTGAGATGTCCAACATATTAAAGCAATATTATAATAAGACAGTTTTTTTGTTACATGCCCAGATGGGCGATGTACATAATAACCGAGGATCCGCAATGTTGCAATCAGACTCGCTTTCATTCACACTTTTCATCCATGTAAACAGCAGCGCAGCAAACTGGCGACATGCGCCCACTCAGAACTCAGAGATATGGCATCCAGATACGAGTTCACTTTCAGTTGGCTATGGCGACTCAGCGCCCAAACAACTCACTGTTCACATACACCGGATCACCCTGGATATCCCACACGCGACTCTCTGAACTCACACACACACACCACACACTCGCTACACACTAACTCTAGCTATGGCGGCTATGGCCACAACTACCCTATCGCTATGCTACGCTCCTTCTCTCTCGCCCTCTTCAGCTCCGGGCTCACTGCAGACCTCCTTGCACAAGTCGCTGCGGCAGCGCTTCGGCATGGCTCACGCAGGAATCAATGAATGGCTGGGCGCTGCCTCTTGATTTATACTTCTGAAACTCGTTGGTCTGCCCTTTGCCATCGGCCCATGGTGCTCACAGTCCCTTGTGGTACTTGCTCAACCGGACTGGGACTGACTGGACCTTACCGCTGACTGAGTGGGGACTCACTGCTAACCTACCGAGGTCCACCACTTGACTCACCACTTGCCCACTTGCTGACCTTCTAGAAGGGCTACAGCTACGACTTCTGGAACTCAGTAAGACTTCTATTCTGCAGGTCTACAGATCAAACCCCTGCTACCTATGGACCTATGACAGCCTACCCACTGGTTCAACTCTCGGGGTCTACACAGGTACTGTACACAGGTAGGGCAAGGTCTAGGGATCGAACCCTGGGATCTGCGTCTGCTACTGCAAAGAGGTGAAAACCGTTTCAATGTGATAAAAAGGACTGAATGGACAATGCTGTGCAAGTGGAATCTCAACTAGCAATGTGCATTCCGATACATACAAAATGGTGACGAATAGCGCAGGGAAGATTTAGATACAAGACCTGACCTGACCGAGACTGACCTTTATCACATAGTACAAGATAGCGAAGCAGAATGCTAGAATACTGATGACTAACCCAATCAATGTTTCATTGTAGACCAACATACATCATGCTCATCACAAGGTGTGAAGGAGCCTGGCGCTGTACACAGGAAGGAAGCGCCAGGTCCAGACATACACAGACGAAGAGGAGGGGATAAGACGAAGAGGAGAGGGAGAGATGGGAATGTCGTCAACACCAAGTCTTTGTCACAAGCCCCAAATAATCCCTCGTTGCAATGTCTGAAGCCCAAAAGTCGAGTCTGGATCCAATGTCAACAAGCTCCCTCTCTCTCTTCTCTCGTAGTCTGCTGATGCAGTGAAGTCAGATGATGAGAGGGTGAGAGGGAGATGGTGGACTGAGAAGAGGAAGAAGAAGAACTCTCTCTCTCTGTTACGAGCCAGGTACTAACCTGTGAAGTTGGCGCTGTGCTGCAGGTAAGTACCTCAGGCCTCCGCCCAATCTCTCTCTCTCTCTAGTGCTATCCTAGCTATGGCGCCCAGCGCTGGAGACTACAGCTACCTACTGCGCCCAGCGCTGAAGACTAAAGGCTAACGCTACTACTACTCCTGCAGCGCTCCCTCCAGAGTGCTGCTGCCGAATCCTGAAGACTACTGCCTCCTGCCTACCCGTGAAGTGCATGGGAAGTCCCTATGTACTACCTCGGCCTGCCTCCTGACTGCCTGAAGGGCGAGCCAGGCCGAGGAGGCTGCTCTTGCCAATGCCGAAGTGTGCCAGGGGCTGGCGCTGCAGAATCTGCTGAGGCTGGCGTGGGAACAGGCTAAGAATAGCCTGTTCCCGAAACCCTGGTTCGGTGCCTGAGTTTCAGGGCCGATCGTTCTGATGAGCGACCGCAAATGGCCCTTCGTTTCAGGCTAAAAAGGCTATTGCCCTGTTTTCAGGCTTTCGGGCTGAACAGTCACGGGGCCTGTAGGCCCTGGTTTTCAGGCTTTCAGCCTGAGGGACGCAGGGCCTGGAAAATGGCCCTCGTGTGCAGGCGCAGCATGTAACATTTTTGGTTGTCCTTGGGGTACCCCTTTCATTGTTCTGCAGCTCCCCTTTTACTGTGCCTCTTACGCACAAGGCTGCCCTCGTTGATTGTGGTTGAGCGGCAGCTGCCCACATCCCTGTGTGCCTTCACGGCCCACTTCCACGTCATTTCAGGAGGCAGAGTAAAAGGGAAGGTATGCTCCTGTGCATCTCTTCAGAGCTTCATACTCCTGTTCATTTCACTTCAGATGTTCAGCTTATACAGTCTTTGTGTCCGTCCTTCATCTTCATACCGTTCATTTCATTTCTGATCTTCATATCGTCCATACTCTTAATGATGCTCATTCGTATGTATTTGTTAGTAGTACAAGGGGAGTGGAGGGGAGGGTGGAGAGTAAGGGGTAGAAGGCGGGGTTCTCTAGGAGTATGGGGCAGGGGAGGAAGGGGCAACGGGAGGGCAGGATAGAGTATGACACGCAAAGAGCAGCGGAAAGGTGTATGACGGGTTTCACAGATTTCTAAATATTCACCGCTGAAGCAGACTTCTGAAAAAAAAAAAAAACCATGGCGAGTGGCCACCCCTACAGACCGGACAGGACCGGTTCGGGTGTGGGCTATGGAACCACCGCATCCAATTTTCGCAGTCACAGTTGCTGCATCGAATGGCACAGCGCAGACAGATGTAAGAGGCTACGTGGCTCTTACATGCTAGGAACACAGAGGCACGTCAACCGCAATTATAGAGGCATTGCCGTTCCAGCCCCTGTCTACAAAGTGGACATGACATGTCGGGGTGCCGTACATGAGTACAGTACTGACTGTCATCATACGTATGGAAGCAAAAACTCACATGGACTATACCTTCATAATCCTCACGGCACAAGGCATGCGAACCACATGCTAGTTGAATCTCCGGCGTGTCATCACAAAACAGCATGGAGCATCTTTCTTGGGCTTCCTCAGTATGTATTCCTTCTCTATGGGCAGACGACGACAGGGAGGATCGGTCCACCGCAAGGGCATTCGGCTGCTGCAGGATATGGTCCGCAACAGCTCGCCCTGGTGGTGATAAACTATGAGCACATCGCTCTGCCGGTGGTTCATATAGAAGTCTATTTTCCTCCTCGGACTGCTGTGTTCGTCGTTTGTCTGGCATGAAAGAGGGAGATCCATCAGTGGTTGCCGTAGGTGTATGACCAATACCGCATGTGGGACATGCTAGGAGAGGATGTGGAGGGTGATGGCACCGGGGATAGTCCACACAGTAAAGACGCATACTTTCTATGACAGCGTCCTCAAAGCATTGATGGCACATGGCATGTTGTTGACATGTCATTAGTATGGAAGGCTGACGTGCACAGTTATTTAAGCATGGCAGATCAAGGCCACAACGGCATGCKGGGCAAGTAATCAGGGGGTGGGGGGGATGAGCACAGGACTGGGGATCACAATTTTCGTGTGAGAGGCTAGCAGCGACCATCCCTTCATAGTGTTCGGAGCAGAGGCTATGTCGTGTACATGCCAACTGAACTGTACCTGTGGGATCACAATTTTCGTGTGAGAGGCTAGCAGCGACCATCCCTTCATAGTGTTCGGAGCAGAGGCTATGTCGTGTACATGCCAACCGAACTGTACCTGTGCGACGACACAACAGGAGGGCACAACCATCATCCTGTGGAGAGGTCCTTTCACTGTTTGTGGTAGAATCAGCAGGATTGCTCTCCGGGGGGTGCAGTGATTGCAAATGCTCGTCGACATACTGTTCCTGATGGATGAGCCAGATTGAGTGACCCTCCAGCATTTGGTGATAGAAAGAGTTAATATTTCCCGCTGTGTGCACCCTACCGCCATTGTCCCATAGGGTCCATGAATTATCTGCAAAGGTAAAAGCACTGAAGTGACCTGGACGATATAAGATATATGCCGGAATATTCGGATCCGGGCCTGGCTCGTGGTTTTGCGGAGCAGGCTGGAATTGCAGTCGAGTACCCATAAATGCCATAGCCAGGACTTCTATGTTCACCCCAGGTGCAGCGCTGTCGTCTGGGCAGACGGCACGGTGCTCTTCTTCTATCCAGCGAACAACGTCTGCGAAATCAGCAACAGTATAAGGATTACAATTGTAAGCAAGGAGACATACATTAATGGCAAAGTACGCACAACACCCTCGCTGTAGCGCTATGACATTGTCTGATTCCGCAGGTTGCGTGGGGGATCCGTTTACGGGAGGGGGATCCTCGTTCGATTCTGCAGGTTGCCCAGGTGGCGGAGACTCGTTGTGGTCTTGACCAATTGGCTCCGGTATGTGCTCCGGAGAGAGATGATCTTCAACCGGGGCCTCCGTCAGGAAATCAGGAGACGGGTCATTGTCATTTGGGGCACGGGAGGGAGTGGGGGTAGGTGGATGAGAGAGGGGCGGGTCAGGTGGGTGAGAACTGGGTGGACCAGATGTGGGAATCGGAAGCTGATCAGCCTCACTTGTGCTTAGACGGCTGCTAGTCGTGCAAACGCTGCACAAGTAGCTGCACCTCGTGTCTTGTGTACTCGTAAGCCTACAGCACTGACGAAATCATTGCCACATTGCGGGCATCGGACTCGATGTGCACTATTCCTCGCAAGTGTATACTGAAAGCGACGATGTCGTTCCATATGGTTGCGAGCATGTCGTCGGAGCAGATCTCTAAACCCTGCAAGGGGCGCGGTGATCATGCCATTCAATGACAAACGAGGCCGCTGTCTTGGAGACTGTTGTGGAGACGGGGAACGTCTCCACCGAAGAGGCATCTGTAACGATCGATCTAACAACGGATACCTCGGCCGACAGGGCCTTTGTGACGACCGATCTGACCATGAGTGCGTTGATGATGAGGAGGTCGATGATGAGGAAGTAGAGGAAGAAGTAGGGGAAGAGGAAGAAGAAGATGATGATGCAGATGACTGAGAGGATGCTGCAACAGGGGATGTCGGTGGGGGTGGCGGTGATGATGGTGGTGGTGCTGCTGATAATGATGGCAGTGATGGTGGTGGTGGTGGCGGCGGGAGTGGTGGTGGTGGTGGTGGAGGAGGCGATGGCAGCAGTGGCAGAGGAGGAGGTCGTGTACCTTCAGCAGCAGCAACAACAACAACAGTCGTTGTATTGGTAGGATGCTGGCCTTCATCCCTTACTGCCATTTCGGTAACGTTCAAATTGTTTACTGCGGCTGGCATGATCTCTAGCTGAGTTGGCGTATCGACATTAGCATCTGCCATTTCAGCACGGATAACAAGGGGGGGGGGGCGGTCTGCATTTGATTGTGCGGAGGGCTGATGCTGGCTGCTGTCAACATTGGTGTCAGGCGATGAGTGGTGGTCTGTTGTGTGCGGTTGGGTGGAGGACCTGCGCACTGAATCAGCTTTCGGGAGTGGGTGAGCGATTGCCCAGCGAACCATTCGGCGAAACCAGTTCGAAAGTCGTGTGACATGAGTTGGTAGCCGGCGTTGTCGGCCACGCACATATGCAGTCCAGCCTCTAGCCAGGACACTGGGAGGATGGCCCTTGACAAGCATACTTCGTGTTAGGGAAGTCACTGCCGCTTTGATGTCGGTAGTATTGTTACATATATGTTCAAATCTCGTTAGTTGTCCCATGAGCACACCTGCAGGCTGATGAGGCGCAGCGTTGGAGGAAGCACTGGGATAACGTATGACAGTGAACATCCAGTTCTCGGCCTTATCAAATACACCAATGCGAAGCGAGCCATCAGGCCGAACCAAGATTCTTGCCCCAAGGAAAAGACATGACCCATCTTGCTCAATAGTGTCTTTCCACTCAAGACCATACCGAGCAGGAGACGGTGGTAATGTCTTCCAGGATAGAATGTCATCAATGAATCGATATGTGAATGCATATGCTTGTGCAGCACACAGATCTGGCTGACGAAGATCATCGATGAACTGTGCTTCGTCCCAATAAAGCGTGAGGTTGACAATTTCTGGTCCAGCGTTAGTGCCCATAGGGATACCGACCACCTCATGGCGCAGAGTGCCATCCCTTGTATAAAGGTAAGTATAAGAGACTACAAACCGCGGATGTTGCTCTATTTCTGACACCGAGAGGGTGTCTGGCCCATGTGAAGTAACCCACTCCCCACGATGAGAACCGCCTATAGTCATGTACATCTGTATTGGCCTTCTGAAACGAATGATGCTCCTTTTGATTTACCAGAAGCGGAAGCTGAGTTAGTTGCAGGCCATAACGTAGAATATTCTTCCATGGGTTTTGCTCTTTTTTTTTTAGGGGAGTATGCTAATATGATATTAATGAGTAGTTTATGTACTCTTTTATTTTTGGGTGGCCTGTGTGTGTGTGTGTGTGTGTGTGTGTGTGTGTGCGTGTGTGAGAGCGCGCGCGCGAGAGAGAGAGAGAGATGTGTGTATTTATGAACATATAAGTGTGCGCAAGTGTGTGTGTGTGCGTGTTACATGCTGCGCCTGCAACAGGCTGCACGGGCCATTTTCAGGCCCGTGTTGTTTTCAGCCTGAAAGCCTGAAAACAAGGGCCTACAGGCCCCGTGTTGTTTTCAGCCTAAAAGCCTGAAAACAAGGGCCTACAGGCCCTGTGTCA